AGAAAACTCTGTTTTCAGAACATCTTCTGCAAAGAAGGGCGTCCAAGTAACTGCAGTAGTGAAGTGGTGATACTTCCGGGAAGCTGAGTGAAAGGACCAGTCATCAGGAAGCAGGACTGCATCCTGGGTGACAACTAGACTTGAAGAAGGCGTGGAGAACTTCTTAAGTGCTAGGGACTACGCTTTGTAACTGTTTACTTCAAAGCTAGTGGAACAGTGGACTAGAGGAACGCGTTGTTCCTTGAACCACTATAAAAACCCCGGTGTCATTTACTTTACTGCATTTACTTTCTGCACTTAGGATTCTAATTGTTTAACTCTAAGACTTGGAAACTGTGTTCAGCAGATCTTGCTTTCGGAGTTATCAGAAAGGCATTTGCCTTAGCATTTGTTTGAGGCTACCCGGAACTTTTATCCGCTGCAAGACCAGTTCTGATCATCAGAACTCGACCCTCTCTGATAAGTCAACTCTGACTTAGAGAAAAGTTGAAAAAATTTTAATCAGTCTATTCACCCCCCCTCTAGACTGATTACCTAATCAAACGGGACCAACAAGTGGTATCAGAGCCTCCTTGTTCTTGTAATCTTTTAGGTTACTCTTTGAATAAAGATCCACTTGCTTCTAGCCTCTTTACTTGTTATTATGGATAACTCTCTTGCAAAGCACCTCATGTTTTCAGATCAGAAGTATGATGACTGGAAGATCCGGATGAAAGCACACCTCTGTGCACTTCATGATGAAATGTGGGAAGTTCTTGAAGAAGGACCCTTCACCAAATTCATGAAGGTGAATACTGAGCATACTACTGACAAATCTCAACCCGAGATGATTGAGAAAGCCAGATCAGAATGGACAAAGGAAGAGAGGAGACAATACAATCTTGACAATATTGCCAAAGATATCCTCTACAAAGCCATTGATAACAGATACTTCAACAGAATCAAGAAGTGTCGAACTGCCAAAGAAATATGGGACAAACTTGATCTCATAGGAGCTGGTGATGAACAAGAGAGAGACAACAAACTGACAATAGCTATGAAAAGGTTTGATGACTTCAAGCTTCTACCTGAGGAATGCATAGCTGAGATGCATGCCAGATTTCTGATTCTTACCAGTGAGATATCTGAGCTTGGGAAGGAGCTCACAGTTAAAGAAGTCAACCTGAAGATTCTCAGAGGACTGCCCCCAGTCTGGAAGATGAAGGTTATTGCTGTCCAGGAGAGCAAGGACATCAAAACCTATCCTACAGAGAAGCTGATCTCTGATCTCAAAGCTTATGAGTTTGAGATGCATGATGAGAAGGAAGAAATTCCTGATGAGAGGACCACCACTGCTCTCACAGCCAGCACTTCTAGTGTAAACAACTTTGACCCTTCTACTTTTTTTCTGACGAATATATGGCTGCTTTTGCCAGGAAATTCAGGAAATTTATGAAGAAGGATGGAAGGAGTCCATCTTCCATCAGAAGACCCCATCAGAAGACCAAGTCTTCAGAAAGCAATGGAGAGTACCTCTGCTACAACTGCAGACAGCCTGGTCACTTCAAGGCTAACTGCCCCTTCCCTAGAGTGTCCAAGAAGCAAGGACATGAAGAAGAAAAGAAACCTGAAGAACAACACAGAAGATGAAGGGCATTCGTCTCAGAGCAAGCTGAGAGAGATCCACTCTCTGAATCAGAGTCCAGCTCAGATTCTGACTCTGATGAAGCTTTCTGCTGCTTAGATACAGAGACCGAAGATCTTTGCCTCATGGCTCAATCAGATGATGAGGTATATTCAACTGCTAATTCTATTTCTTCTTCGGTAGGCACAGCTTTAAATGATGATCTAATGTCATCATTTTGGGAAGAATTCAAAACTATCCAAGACACTTATTCCTTGATCAAAGAGGAGAACAGTAAACTAAAGTTAGAAATCTCTGACTTAAGAAAAGAGACTGAGTGCAAACTTAATCTCTTAATTAAGGAAAGAGACAAACTGGAAGTTGAAAATGAATCTCTTCTAAAAAGAATAAGAGAAATTGAGAGTCTTGAAATCAGATATGATAGTCTTTTGAAGATGCAATCTTCAATAAGGAGCATTGATGATACTCATAATCTCACCTCTGGTCTTGGATATGTTGAACACAAGTCTGATGAACCTTCTCAAAGTCCTAGCACCCAAGTTGCTAAAGCCAAAAAGGTTATGGTACCACAGACTTCGAGCCCCATCTGTCATGCTAGTACTTCTGGTACTAAAGTTGTTCATGAGAAGGTCATATCAGAAAAGCAAAAACTAAAGGCCAAACCCAAACAAATTTTGAAAATTAATGAACCTGGCAGAAGAGCTAATAACAGAAAAAGTTTTCAGAAAAATAATAATCAAAGGCCAAACCTTATCAGACAATCTCATGACAACAGTATCAGAAACTGCTATCAGAAAGGCAGATATCAAGAGAAAATTAACTATAGACAGAAGAGGTTGACTGATCAACCTCAGAAGCCTAAAGTTAAGCGCTCCTCTGATCTTGATAGTATATGGGACTTCTTTCCAACAAAGAAGGCTATGCAAAAGTATGCAAACAGAAAGCATGATCCTCACAAGCATCTGCCCAAAGTGAATCATACATCTGTTTACTACGACTACCAGGTGGACAATGGGTACCATCCACCAAGGTTTCAGTTGATGAGACCAAAATGGTACCAACTACCAAGACTACATTACCCCCCAGGACCCAACATAGCTTGGGTACCTAAATCTTCCTTTTAATTTTGCAGGAACTGTGTGCTGGAGCCATCTCAGAACAAGAATGGTTTATTGACAGTGGATGCTCCAGGCACATGACAGGTGACAAGAGTTGCCTATCAGAGTTCCAGAAAATCAATGGACCCCGAGTCACTTTTGGAGGAAATGACAAGGATGGTCAAACAAAGGGAAGAGGGAAGCTGATCAAGAACCAGATAAGCATTGATGATGTCTCTTATGTCAAAGGCCTGAAGTTCAACCTGCTGAGTGCTAGCCAATTCTGTGACAAAGGCTACACAGTTGAATTCACCAAGACCTTATGCTATGTCAAGCATGAGACAACAAAGGAAGTGGTTCTTACAGCAAAAAGGAGAAAGAACATCTATGTTGTTGACTGGCAAACAGCAAAAGATGATACATGTTTGATAGTCAAAGATAATTCAAAGCTAAGCTGGGACTGGCACAAAAAGCTTAGCCATCTGAATTTCAAAACTATCAATAAACTAGCACGAGAACACATTGTAGATGGTCTGCCAGACATAGTCTACAAGAAGGAGACCCTCTGCAGTGCTTGTCAGAAGGGCAAACAAGTGAAGACCTCATTCAAACCCATAGCTGGAGATCTTTCTACTAGTCCTCTAAATCTGATCCACATGGATTTATTTGGACCAGTTGAAACTCCCAGTGTTGGTGGAAAAAGATATACCCTTGTTATGGTTGATGATTATTCAAGATATACTTGGACTGTGTTCCTAACAAAGAAAAATGAAACTCTTCAGAAGTTGCCATCTCTGTTAAAGCAACTTCAGACTGAGAAGAACATGAAGGTCAGGACAATCAGATCTGACAAAGGAACTGAATTTGTCAACAAAGTGATCAGAGACTTCTGTGATCAGAATGGGACATTTCATCAACTCTCTGCTGCCAGAACACCCCAACAAAATGGTGTTGCAGAAAGAAGGAACAGAACACTAAAGGAAGCTGCAAGAACTATGATTGCAGAATCAGGATTGCCCATCAGATACTGTGTTGAAGCAATCAACACTGCATGCTACACTCAGAATAGAAGCATGATCCACAAGAATCATCAGAAGACCCCCTACGAGCTGTGGAAAGGAAGAAAGCCAAACATCAGCTACTTCCATGTGTTTGGATGCAAGTTTTATATTCTAAACAATGGAAAGGAGAATCTGAAAGTATTTCAAGAAAAAGCTGATGAAGGTGTATTCCTAGGCTACTCAAGTTCAAGCAAAGCCTATAGAATACTTAACAGGAGAACTATACAAGTTGAAGAATCCATTCATGTCAAGTTTGATGATAGCACCTCTGCAGAAGAACTATCAGAAACCCTGCAGAATATCAATCTTGAAGATAAGATTTCAGAACCATCAGAAGAGGTCACTATCAATCCTGTATTCTCAACTCCTCCTGCTAATCCAATTCTGATAGACAAAGATGAAGATGAAGATGAAGATGAAGAATCAGAAGATGAACCATCAGAGTTGCCTAGACAACAACTATCAGAACCTGACCTAACTTGGTTAAGAGATCATCCTCCTAATCAAGTGATTGGTTAAGTTACTAGTGGAATAAGGACCAGATCTGCATCTAGAAGAGAAGCCATGTTCACCTGCTGCATTTCTCAAATGGAACCAATGAATGTAGAAGAAGATCTAGAGGATTCAGATTGGATCAATGCAATGCAAGAAGAGCTCACACAGTTTGAAAGAAATCAGGTGTGGGAACTTGTTCCTAGACCAAAGCATCAGAACGTCATTGGAACCAAATGGGTGTTCAAGAACAAAGCTGATGAAGAAGGCAACATTGTAAGGAATAAAGCAAGGCTTGTAGCAAAGGGATACTGTCAAGAAGAAGGCATAGATTTTGATGAGACCTTTGCACCTGTTGCAAGACTAGAAGCAATCAGAATCTTCCTTGCCTATGCTGCCTACAATGACATCAAGGTCTACCAGATGGATGTCAAAAGTGCATTCCTGAATGGAGAACTGGAAGAGGAAGTTTATGTAGAACAACCTCCAGGTTTTGTCATTCCTACTCAATTTTCGTGTGTCTACAAGCTCAGAAAGGCCCTTTATGGTCTTAAGCAAGCTCCCAGAGCTTGGTATGACACATTGTCCCTATTCTTAGTAAATCATGGGTTTACTAAAGGAAAGGTTGACAAGACTCTATTTCAAATTTCTGTTGCTAATCATATTCTATTAGTGCAAATTTATGTTGATGATATTATATTTGGAAGCACTAATCCAGAATTATGCAAGAAGTTTTCTAAAGTTATGCAGAAGAAGTTTGAGATGAGCATGATGGGAGAACTCAGTTACTTTCTTGGTTTACAAGTTAAACAAGTTCCAGAAGGCATCTTTATCAACCAAGGGAAGTACACCAGAGACTTAATCAAGAAGTTTGGAATTGATAGAAAATCTCCAGTCAAGATTCCCATGAATGCATCTCAAGGGATTGGACCAGATGATGAAGGAAAAGATGTTGATGCAACAACTTATAGAGGAATCATTGGATCTCTCCTCTATCTGACTGCAAGCAGACCAGACATAGCATTTGCTGTAGGAATCTGTGCCAGATACCAATCAAAGCCCAAGGAAAGCCATTTGGTTGCTGCTAAGAAGATCATCAGATATATCAAAGGAAATCCAAATGCAGGACTATGGTATCCCAAGGGAGGTAACTTTGAACTAATTGGTTACTCTGACTTAGATTTTGCAGGTTGCAGATTAGACAAAAAGAGCACCTCTGGTCACTGCCAATTGCTAGGTGGGAGACTTGTTTCATGGTTTAGCAAGAAGCAGAACTCCATCTCAACAAGTACAGCTGAAGCTGAGTATATTGCTGCTGGAAGCTGCTGTGCTCAGTTACTCTGGATGAAGCAACAACTCAAGGATTATGGAGTGCAAGCAAAGGAGATCAGGTTGTTGTGTGACAATACCAGTGCCATTGCAATCACTCAGAATCCCGTGCTGCATTCAAGGACCAAGCACATTAAGATCAGACATCACTTCATCAGAGATCATGTGGAGAAGAAACACATTTCAATTGAGCATGTTCCAACTGAAGATCAGCTTACAGATATCCTAACCAAACCTCTCTCTGAGGCTAGGTTTAACAAGTTGTAACACTTGAGATTCAATTTAAATGGATTAATAGTACTACTCATACAAACAAGATGCATCTCCTTTTAAGGGAGCTCATCACCAAGAACTCCAAAGTTAAGCGTGCTCGCACGGGAGTAGTCTTGGGATGGGTGACCCCCTGGGAAGTTTCTCGGGGCGCGCACGAGTGAGGACAAAGTGCACGGAAAAGGCTAGTGGCGGTTTGTGAGGACAGTACTATTGGTCCAGAGTAACTTCCTCGGGTCCCACGGGGCCGGGGTGTTAGAAATGGTATCAGAGCAACCCTGCGACAGTGTGCTGATCCGTTGGATATCGGGCGGGCATTTAGCAGGGGAAAAGATTCTGGGGTGTGATTGAGATTGGTTTAAGGGCGCAACGAGGACGTTGCGATCCTAAGTGGGGGTGATTGTAATACCCGAGATTAATTTAAGAGGATTAATAGTACTACTCATACCAACAGAGGTGCATCTCCTTTTAAGGGAGCTCATTACCCAAGAACTCCAAAGTTAAGCGTGCTCGCACGGGAGTAGTCTTGGGATGGGTGACCCCCTGGGAAGTTTCTCAGGGCGCGCACGAGTGAGGACAAAGTGCGCGGTAAAGGCTAGTGGTGGTTTGTGGGGACAGTACTAGAGGTCTGGAGTAACTACCTCGGGTCCTGCGGGGCCGGGGTGTTACAGGTGGTATCAGAGCAACCTTGTGACAGTGTCCTGACTCGTTGGATATCGGGCAGGCACTTAGCGGGGGAAGATTCTGGGATTTGATTGAGATTGGTTTATGGGCGCAACGAGGACGTTGCGATCCTAAGTGGGGGTGAATGTAACACTTGAGATTCAATTTAAATGGATTAATAGTACTACTCATACAAACAAGATGCATCTCCTTTTAAGGGAGCTCATCACCAAGAACTCCAAAGTTAAGCGTGCTCGCACGGGAGTAGTCTTGGGATGGTGACCCCCTGGGAAGTTTCTCGGGGCGCGCACGAGTGAGGACAAAGTGCACGGAAAAGGCTAGTGGCGGTTTGTGAGGACAGTACTATTGGTCCAGAGTAACTTCCTCGGGTCCCACGGGGCCGGGGTGTTACACAATTTGAGAGAAGAAATGGGAATGATGGATGATCTTCCCAGAGATGCTTGAATCAGAGTTGCAGAAGCATCAGACATGGATTCATCAGAATACCCCACCTCTGATACTCTTATCCATCAGAAGACCCTGTATCAGAATACCCCTTCTCTGATACATGGACTATTATTCATCAGAGTGGCTGTGGACTTGGCAAAATTTTCTAAATTTCGGGCGAGACTGTTCAATAAACTGGGTTTTACTATTTTACCCCCGGTAGTTATTACCATTTTTGGAAAACGGCTTTCCGCCCACAATCCATGAAATGCGACCTCGAAACCCCAAATTATACCAAACGTCCACTAACCCAAATTCATATATACCCATTCTGAAAACCTAAATCGCTACTGCAATTTTACTCTTCGCACTCAAGCTTTCTGAACTCTCAAATAGACTCAATATCTCAGAAATTCCTTAATCTTTACTCAAAATGCACTTCATCAACATCACTGATCTTTCCGAAGCTGAAGTCAAGTCCCTAATGGCCAACATCGTCACCGGCATGAAGGTTGACATGTCATCCCTACTGCTGTTAGCAAAGAACAGCAGAATAATGAAGGAGATCATTGCCGGGATGAATGACTCCCAACTAACCAAGATTGTGGCTCATCCGTACGAAAGCTTCAGTACCGTCGATGTGACTGAGTTCTACCTCAATGCCTACATCACTGACCACACCATCCATTCTCAAGTTCAAGGGAAGGACTTGAAAATCGATGCTGACGCCCTAAATGCGTTCTTCAACATCGAACTCGATTCACAAGTTGAAGATACCTCCATTCTCATCGACCTGGAATCAGTCGATGTCTCTGTTGAAACATTTGTGCACACTTACTGCTGGGAGGATGCAACCGGAGTAGATAAGATGTACATGAAGAAGAATGTCCTGAAGAAGGACTTTGAAAGACTGATGAGCATCATGCACAGATGTTTATGGTGCAAAACTGGGTCAACTGACCAGATGAACAATGCCAACTCCAAGGCTATCTATGTTGTTCACAGGGGAATGAACATCAACTGGGGAAAGGTATTGTTCCAATCTCTCTCTGAATCTGTTGCTAAGAAGGACAAGAAGACTGGCCTATTCTCAACCAAGATGGGCCATGGGCTTCTGATCTCCAGACTGATATCCAATGTCAACATAGCGCTCCGAGAAGCTACTGAAGTCAATCATACGAAGACCATCTTCCTCACAGCTTCTCCCAAGTTCAATGTAGCTATTGCTGCAGAACTAAAGAAAGCTAACAAACAAGAACAACAACGGGAGAAACCAGCTGCTAAAACTAAAGTTAAAGAAGATGACGAACAACCCAAGGCCAAGAAAGCTAAGAAAGATAAGAAGAAGTCTCAACAGAAGCCAGAGGAAAGTGCATCAGAGGAGGATGCATCAGAACCAGAAGCTTCTGATATGACTCTCAAGGTCACCCCTATCAAGAAACAAAGAATGAAGAGAAGAAGAAAAGCTATAATTCAGAGTGATTCTGATGCTTCTACTTCTCCCATCAGAGTGCAGAAGAAGAAGAAGAAGACCAGCTCTCCCCCCAAGGAATCAGAACCTCAGGGGGAACCAGCATCAGAGAAGGCTGATGTTCAAGGGGAACCTGCATCAGAGGTCCAGCCATCCTTTGTACCAGACTCACCAATCACCCTCTCTTCACCAGGACACCTAGCTGCTTCTACTCGAGTCCTTGAGATGGATCCCATCACAGCCCTAGAAAGACAATTTCAAAGGGTACTCACTTGGAGGAAGTGGAGAATGGGACCCCTGCAGCAGATCCTTGCTCAAGCTGCTACTTATGAATCTGAGGAAGTTGAAGTCCTCAAATGGGCAGGTACTGATGATGTCTCTTTATGCTTCGACCTTCAGTTCCTACAATCTGTTCTTGAGAAGAAGAAGGCAAGCTACAAAGGCAAGGAGAAGCTGACTGCTACCTCATCAGACGAGCATGTCAAAGCCTTATCTGAACACGAGGTTCCTATCTTTGAAGAGTGGCTGATGGAGAAGAAAAGGAGGGAGTCTCTAATCAAGATGAAACCTATTCCAGGTGCAGAGGGAGAGCCATCAACTGCCAATGACCTATCTCTGGCAATGCAGAACCTTATCAGAGAATGGAGAGACTCTCAATTTGAAGAAACGTTTTTAGAGGTAATACCAGAATCCCCTATTCCTCTGATTACTTTGCAACCCACTCCATCTCCCCCTCACTCCCCTCCTAAATCCCCATCCCCTAAACCCACAACACCTGACTACACTCCACCACCTTCACCTCAACCTCCTTCACACTCACCAACTCATTCACCTAAACCACAGAAATCCCCTACCCCTTCACCTAAGAAAACACCACAACCCTCACCCTGCAAACCCTTGACTCCCTCCAGAAACCGATCACCATCACCCCCTCCCTCTCCACAAAATCAGAAAACCCCTAACCTTCAAACCTCATCCAATCAGAGCTCCCACCATCAGAAGTCCAGCTCTCCACCAGTACCTCCATAGCAATCATCTACTCCTTCCAAGATGCCAGTACAAACTCTTGCCACAGGTCCTGCCCCACTCCAACACTTCATGGCTGATATAGAACACGTTGGGCACCAAATAGCCAAGGGCATGGACAAGATTCTGGATGCTGAGTATGAGACTGATGCTCATCTCACCAATGTCAGCACTCACCTCTCAAAGGGCATCTTTTTACTGCTGAAGCATGTGGGCATCATTGCCACAGCCTTTGAGGTCCACAAAGATAAGACTGCAGAAAATTTGAGCAACATTGCTAAAGAGGTGGATGGAATCTCTGCTGTGTTATTTCATCACACTAAGGTCCTTGAAGAGCAAGACAAAGCTATCAAGGGCATCTCTGACTCAGTTGATGATCTACAGTGGTCTTCTGATAAAGCTCGTCAAGAGTTTCAAGATGTTGAAGGCCTCTGCAAGGACACTAAAGAATTCGCTATCAAATTGATCAATAGTGGCAAGGACAGAGATCAGAAGTTGACTCTTCTTGAAGCTACCACAAAAGATATTCAGTCGGCAGTGGACAAACAGAAGGAGATTATTGAAGGTCTGGCTTCTGTAACCCAGACTCTGCCAAGTGCTCTTGAAGTCATAAAGGAGAATCAGGCCACCGAATTCTCAAAGATTGAACTCCTGCTTGGTGATCTTGCTGATGCCAAAAAGGGGGAAGAAATCAGAGAACCTGCTAGAGCGAAGAAAGCTGCAGAAGGATCAAGCACCAGAGCTCAGCCTATCTCTGGTACTCCTGATCCTACTCCTGATCCTACCATATACTTTGAGAGAGCCAGACAGAAGCAAATTGCCGCAGGTATTCAAAGACCACCCCCTCCTCGGTCCAAGAAAGGAAAGAAGAAAGCTTCCTCATTCACTCTGGCTCAATGGCTTAACAGCGATCTAGCCAAACCTGATGCCACTCAGTTCAGAGAAATGAAGAAGCATA